TCAGTCCAATTAGTACTCAGTTTAGTGCACTCAGATTTATATTTCAATCCATTTACACAGAGTCAAACTCAATCTATTCATAACCCAGCTTTTTATAATCAAATTCAGTAAATAATACAAACTTTTAAATGTTATGCTGTGATTTGAAGAATGATTTTCTGTTTTTGGAGATCTGAAATAAGCTTTAAAATGAGGATTTTCCAGGGGAATTTTCTGGTTAAAAACTTTCAGAATTTTTGATAATTCTTAAAAAATAATTCATCATATATGCTGCAGGAAGCAGAGTGTGTTAAAAACTAACCAAAAATCCTCTCTGAGGTGTAAATTTAATGACCTGAATAGGTGAGGGGAAAAGAGAAAAGCTTTTAAACTTATAAAAATATTGACTTCATATGCCTCATAACATAGTCTTTCATTATTTGAATTACTGGTAGTTAAAAGAAATTAATCAGATCTGTTTGATTCCGAGCAACCTCCTCCTCCCTTTCTCTGATGCAAACCTCTTGTTTTATTTCAGGCACTAATCTGTTCTCCAGTGGAGCTCAGGCTAACTTTAAGATGGAAAAAAAAATGGCTCCTCAAACCTGGAGTTACTGCAAAACCTCAAACCCATTTAAATGCTCAGAGTTTTGCCATGCTTTATCACTCTTAACTGTTGAACTTAAAATAACATAAGCTTTTTCTGATTTAACATTCAAAAATGTGTTTTTTCTGAAGCCGAAGGTAACGATGGGTTAGAAAAAACTGTAAAAAACATAGGAATGTTTTCTAAAGGAGTCAGATTTTACTGAATCTGTGAAGGCAGCAGTGAAGCCTGAGGCTAAATGTACACTTAGCTTTGGTCTCTACGAGGCCCAGCAGTGAATCATCAGCGCTCAGCTGTCCAAAATCCACCACCAATCTGGCCGGGGCATATGGTAGCATGACACTTTGTACGAATTACTACAACGAGCCTGTGTTGTTGTTTCTCCCTGCCTTTTTTAGGTTTCTACAAGTCGTTTCACATCAGAGCTAATGGAAATCACAGAGACGCTGGAGAGGAGAGTAACAATACTCATCTTGGTATCGATAGTATCAATACTGAGATCGATACGAAAGGAGGCCGAGCAAGTCTACAAACAGCAGAGTCAGGTGGAATTAAAGGTGTAGCCAGTCTAAAAGGAATACATAATAGCACCGTCTTTTATTCATCCAATGAATACTTACTGAAAGTGTTATTAAAATCTAACCACTGGTTTAGGAGATATTTTGCTAACAGACAGGCACACAAACACATGTTCACACAATCACAGACATTATTGCCCACCTTTAGCTGTTTGGCGGCAGTAGATAAAGATGAAATTGAATACAGATAAATCAATGAAACGCTCACAGCTTGATTGCAATTAGCAGCTGTTGTCTTTTTGGGTGTTTGGTTAAAAACCAGAGACAGAATTGATCCATAAAATTGGAACCTGAGTGGATCAACATCAGGCATGATAGACAGCAGAAAACTGTTCCAAGAGCTCGAGCAGAATGGTTTTACTTCTTTTTTACTTCTATTTTTATCCCCTTCTGAAATGAAAGGGTTTTTTTTGCCCATGATTTTGTGTGCCTCTGTTTGTCTGTTAGCAAAATATGTCTTGAATTACTGAATAAATGTTCTTGATATTTTTTCAAGAAGTAATCTATGGACATCTCTAAATGATTAACTTTTAAAGCCAGTTTAAAACCTGTTTCATAATTGTTGCCACAGCTAATTGACATTAACCTGCACTGAAACGGCTATAACTCAGTCAATTTAACCAATATTAAGCTAAAATAATAGCTATCACTTCATCATTTGTAAACATGAGATTATTTGATCTCTAACGTGAAAGGTGATGGGCAATATGCATTCTTTCATAGAGGCTTCAGATTTTAGGTCTCTCTCCTCTTGTATCCCTTACCTCTCTGCCTCTAATACTGTGGGGTTGCAGGAAGGTTTCATCACATCTTTCTCCATCTTTGACCTCCGTCTCAGCTGCTTGTGAAGTCAGGGAGCAGAAATCTAATAGATGTAAAATGTAAAGGTAGAGGAAGGGTAAAATTTCCTTCCTAATGAGAGCGATGAACTCCAGAGGATGTCCGTCTTGACGTGAGTGCTTGTTTACTTATTTATTCCTTTTTGGGTGTGGGGGGATTTGTGATTGTTCAGGTGATTCACGGTACTTTATCAAAATCAGTTAATCATTCAAGACCACCTAACCCCCTTATTTATCTAAGAAACACTCTTCAAATGATCTGATGTCTTTCCAATCGATAGGAGAATCAGAATATGCAAAGCGCTCGACCTTTGCTGCTTTCATCTCTGTCTTTTGATGTTGCTTTTAATCTGCAGGAAGCCGTGCAAGTGGCTGATGTAGAAGGAGAGGACTGCTCAGCTAGAGTCCACCTGTCAGAACTCTACAAAAGTTTCAAGGGGAAAATTTGGAAAATGAGGCGCCCAATCAGTGCTGGAAAAGTTGAGTTTGTCACGAAATTTCACACACACACACACACACGTTTGTTTTTCTATCCTCATGAGGACTTTGCATTGACTTCCATTCATTTACTGGTCATTTCTTTAGCCTAACTCTGACCCCTAAACCTAACCACTCCAGTACATACTGAACCCTAAATGTAATCTAAACTTAATTCTCACATTAGTCCTAACCCTAACCCCTGACTCACCAATGGTATTTTCCCCGATGGGAACAGTTGGTTCTTACAAGGCTGTGTGTAAAGGGAAAATGGTTCAAAATCATCCTCACCAGGTAACGAAAACATGTGCAAACACACAAGAGACACTGATAAATTTACATCTCAAGTCCCAGAGGAGTACCATTGGGATGATATAAAATAATAATCAATATTCACGTAATGTAGCATTCCTTAAAATAAACATATGTCACTAGCAAAGTCATACACCAAAGTTTTAAGCAAAGGTCTTGTACAGTCTGCTAGAGCTCAAAGTATCTGTTTGCGATGAGCTCAGCTACTACCACACAAAAGCTCAATAATGGCAAATCTGACAAAATTATCACCATTATTGTGTTTATTTTATTTTACTGGTATTTAACCGGGCAAATCCCACTGATATTGCAGATTTCTTTTGAAAGGGCAGCCTGGGCCTGAAGGCAACCTATTGTTGGTCTGTGGGGGAAACCATAGTACCCGGAGGAAACGCACAAAAGCTCGAGGAGAACATGCAAACTAGATACAGAAAGACCCCAGGGGTCTGAACTGGGGATTGAACCCAGGACCTTCTTACTGTAAGACGTCAGTGATAACCACTGAGCCATTGGGTTGCTGTTCGTTAAATTAGGTTAGCAATGGTGGGCATCTTAGATCAGATAATCCCCAAAAGTTGCATTCTAATTTACACAAATACACACTAGATATTTAAAAAAACAAAACAGAAGAACATTAATAAACATTTGATTTGTGCTTTTTAGGATGGGAGACGAGTGAATTGACGATTCAATACAATCTGCTAGCTTTCTTAAATTGATAGTTTTTTTTTTGTTTGCTGTTTTGTGATTTTTTTTTTTTTTTTTGTACAGTGCCCTGAGATGACATTTGTTGTGACTTGGCACGATATAAACAAACTGAATTGAATTGAATTGTTTTTTGTTGAAAATAAATCATCCACATTAGTTTCAAATTCCTCTTGTTTTAAGTATTTGCATTTCTTTGTCTCTCTCTCTCTCAGAGGAAAATACACCTGGACCAGTCTGTTTGCCTGTGCCTCGTTCCTGTCCCGTAAAAGCTAGCCAGTCGAGGCAGATGACCGCATGTCCTGGTCCTGGTTCTGCTGGAGATTTCTTCCTGTTAAAAGGGAGCTTTTCCTGTCCAATTTTGCCAATGTGCTGCTCAGGATGGGAGATTGCGACAAAGTGTTTTGAAGCAATCCTTGTTTTTTTATCGATTCTTTTTTGTACAGTGACCCTGAGATGACGGTTGTTGTGACTTGACACTTTATAAACTAAATAAATTGAATCAATGTTCAAAGAATAAAATTTTGTATTTCTTGTTGCTTAAAAACTAAACCTAAAATCCTTGCACATTTGTGTCCCTTGGATGATCTTTCAGAATAAACACACTAAACTTAACAATTTATCTAAAGAATTCTGAAAATGCATAAAAATAGCATTTTAAATTATTAAAAATATTTTAATTTTTTAAATGCCTTCTTTTTTTGTTTTGTTTTGATCAGTATTCAACAGAATAAATATTAACTTAATGCTTTTTTGTAAAAGACTAAATAGAATATTATAAAAAAATACTGTAAAATAATATTTTTATTTTCTGCAAACAACCAGAATTTTTCTCTTCAACTATGTATTGCCTTCAATAAGAAATACAATTAAAGGGATAATCCTAACAAATATTAAAAAAAAATGTCCAAAATGCCTTTTTAAGCTACACTTTTTTTGTCCTTTATTATAGAATTTAAAGGACAAAATAAATATTTTTTTCTGTAAATAGATAAAAAGCAAACCATTAAATAATCATATAGTGGTTCTAACATTTCATTTTTCCAAACAACTGGACCTACAATGGCAAAGAAAATTTGTTTTCAGATTACCATGTATTTAGAGCTCCAGTGTCCTTTAGCTGGATATTAATGACCAAAAGCAGCATCTAAATTATTAAACACTGTTGACAAACATTGCATTAAAAAGTATGAAGCAAAAACAGGTAGAAAATTGGTGAGTGGTTGTTTGCTTTGAACTGAATGAGACATAAGCAGCAGAGCTGGGGTCATTTCACTTTAATCCATTTGAAAACAAGCATTGAAACTGTATCTAATTAGCATAATAATGAGGAGCAGACACTTTATCCATCGCAGCTTGTGAATAAAATTAATACGATAGGAGAAATATTTTCTCATTTTTGAAAGAATGTAAAGTGACTTGAGCCTGATGCTCCTGAGCAACCCCCCACCCCACCCCCTATTTTTTTGTGTGTGTGTGTGAAAAAACACAAAGCGCCAAAGATTTGGTACTCTGTAATTTGGCTACTTTTATTCGAGCAGGGTCATTTTCAAGAGAAATTACAAATTAAGAATTCAATAATACTTTTACAAAGACATTTCAGGAAAGATTTCTTCTTCAGTCATGATATCATACATAGTATTTAACAGTCCCTCTTCATTTTTTTAGATTACAAAAAGAAACAATGATGAAGAAAAGTGGAATTCTCTTTTTTTCAGTCGAAAATACAGTGTTTTCACAATTGTATAAAAGTTCCCAAATTTGGAGTTTTTTTCCAGCAACTGGAAAGTAAAAGGAAATAAAATAAGATTCAACTTTCACAATGTTTCAAAACACAATAAATGCTCTCTTTAAATTTGCCCCTATGATCGACACCATGTTCCTTTTTACTAAAATATATCTATATATTGAAGAACTATAGTACTGTACACAACAGTATGAAATAAATAAAATTAGGAAATATAAAATGGGCCACATAAATAAGGTTTTCTTCAACCTACAAATAAATGAATGCAGTTTTGCTTTTTTTTTCAGAAAATGGTTTGGTGTAATACTGACAAAAAGAGCTGAGAAAACATTGCACAACATAATGTAAACTAAGGAACTGCTGCCTAGAAGTTTTAATACTGACACAGGTGCTTTAAAGAACAACGGTGAACCATTTTGTAATACTGAAGCTGGTGAAAAATAAACCTTCCTTTTACACAATACGAGGGTGGCACTTGCAGAAAACACACAGGTTAAAAGGTTTGCATATAAGGCTTCTTTTCTTATCAAAAACACCTTACAAAGGCTTCATCCTTCATAGTTTTTGTTCTTTTTTTAGGTTTTATTTACCCCCAAACACTCTGTCAATAAATTGTATTTTCCCTTAAAATGAATTTAAAATTTCATCCTTAAAAAAACAACACAGTTTAAATTCCTTCATTTGATTCCAGAGGCCTAAAACAGTGTGGCTGGAGATGTTTGCAACAAAAAGACGACACCAAAGGTAGTGAGAACAAAGATAATACTGAAGGACTGTAGTGCAGGTAATACTGCTCTTTTCCAACACTGTATAAATATATACATAGGCAATACTTTTTATTATTTTTGTTCATGATTATAGAAGCGGAGTGCAATTTGTACAAGTCACTAGTTGTGCTATAAATACTATGGAACACGGGGGGTTTATTTCAGGAGGTTAGCACCACACATGATTTTAGGCCTTAGTACTGTACATTTTTTAAAATGTATTCATTTATTCGGTTTGCATAATGAAGCTTATTTCACAAACCCATGCCTCCTATCCTTCAACGCCTCCTCCAGATTGATTTTTGAGCCTTGTTTGGCAGACACTGCCACCCCCCTCTCCCCATTTATTCACCCTCCGAGGAGTCTGTCAAAGAAAGCTTCCCTGAAGCTTCAGGCACGTGCAGTTTAAAACACGGCGTTTTAAACCGAGCAGGTGAGAATACTGAACCGAAAGAGAGAAACTTAAAATGTTTAAGATGGGAAGCTTTTTTTAAAGTGTCCCACACGCCAATTCCTGTCCATTGATTACATGCCGTCCTCCATCACATCCTCGTGATCTGATTTGGTTTCCATTTTGCCGTCCAGCGAGCTATCGTCCATCGAGTGTTCTCCGTTCTCCTCCTCATCTCTCAACGTGTCTGGGTCCGTGTCCATGCTCTTGCTTTCTTCCTCCTCCTCCTCTTCAAACTCATCCCTTCGTCCGATCTTAGCGTACGTTCCGTCCACCTCCTTCCTTCCCTCTCTGATCCCTCCGTTCACAGCGTCATGCCTCAGGATAGCCTCGCGCTCGGCCAGCTCGGGGTAGCCCTGAGGAGTCATGCCTTGCAAGTACGCCCTGCTCATTAGCAGCTCCGTGGGCTCTAGGTGGCCTTTCTCGCGGGCCTCCCTCTCGGCTGCCTCCCGCTCCTCAGCCTCCCTCTTGCAGTAGGAGTAGCGGTGGTTCATGTGCTGCGAGTAGGAGCCAGAGTGCGAAAACCTCTTACCGCACTTGTCACACTGGTATGGTTTCTCCCCTGAATGCAGTCGGGAGTGCTCTATGAGATGGTGTTTGTGTTTGAAGGCTTTCTTGCAGATTTGGCACTGATGGGGCCTCTTCCCTACAGACACACAAAACAGAAAGCAAGGGAGGGGGACCGTGAGTGGCCTGCTGTCCTGCAGCAACAACAAATCATACAAGTCAGAGCAAAGCAAAATGTTGAGGAAAAACTCTAATGGACTGGATGACATGGAGTTAAATGACATCACAGATCTTTAAATCTGTTTGTTCACTGAAATTGCGAGCACTATGAGAAAGTGCGCTCGCATTCATGGGCCTATATTATGGAAATTCCCTCCTGTGGTTAAAGCAAACTCTGCCACAACTACTTATTTTAGTTCAGCCTGCCACATTGATGAATCCAACATAAATAAACTACTGCAAAGCAAACAAACAGAACAAAAGAGTAAACAAATCGGAGATGAGACAGAAGGCTGATTATCTCCAAACATAATTCAAGTTCAGAGTGAAGGCTCACCCTCCTTAAGGTTTTGGGCTTCTCCATCTAACAAATGGGCCTTTGGATGCCAAAGCAGAAACAAAAAACCCAAGTTAGCCACAAAGGGAGGGTGAGATAGTTTTATGACAGAGGGCCATAAAATGTCTGGCTAAAAAAACGGTTCTACACTTTGTGATTTTGCCACACTGCTCAAAACTAAGATTTAAAGCTACCTGCAATCATTTAAAGAAGCTATTTAATGATCTTCCTGTCATTTGCTGCTGCTGCTCACCACGTGTGGAAAACATGGCTGCATGCCTCCCACAAATCGTGCAGCAGCCACCAGCACTTCTGTCCAACATCTGGCCTGTTCCAACTGCACTCAGATCCCCTTTCGAGCCTCATATTGTTGCTAAAAACAACACGCAGTGACACAAACATTAAAGAACAGCGTTTTGGAGATAGATACAGGGAGGAGGGGTGTGCTGGAGATAGCGCACCCATTTGAGTTCAGCGTACTGTTCTGACAGTGCAGCCTCCCTCCCTTTTATGTCCAACGTATAACAGATAACATGAAGGCTGCATAAAGCTCCGAGCGCTCAGCTACTGATAGTGGATAAAAAAAAATGATGCAACCTAGTGAAAGAGGATCTGTGTAAATAACTATAATGAAAGACTTGTTATCAGTACTCTGAAGCTTCTGACCGTTACGCTACTGATATTATCTATCACCAATAATGGGGCCGATAAAGACATTAGAAGCTTTTTTTTTGCCTGGCTTTATACATCTAGGTGAATTAATGTGTGTCTTTTAAGATAGCAGAGTGATTATTACAGCAATTGGGAAATAAAGACTACAGTTCCCTCTTCTTGCCTACCTGCATTAATTACTTCTATTTCACAGAACACACAAAGCTTTAACAACATCACACACTGAAGTAAAATTTTTAAATCCTTTCATTACTGTCATCCTGTCAATGAAAAAGCAAGTTAGGTGTTGGTTTACATATACAAATTAAAAATTAAACAGAGAAGGAGAAGGGGAGAAAAGAAGGGGGGTAACAAAAATATTTAAATAGATTGATACTGGTAGGATTTGGCAACACAAACATTTAAAACATAAAAAAAGAATGGGGTTTAAAATAAGGGTCTAGAACAGTATATACCTGTGTGTTCATATTTGTGTCTTAGAAGGGAACTGCTCTTCTGGAATGTTTTGTCGCACAAGTCACACGCGTACATACCACTTTCAGTCTTCTTAATCTTCTTCCGCGACAGACAGGAGTCGGGGTCTGTCATGTCGTCCAGCCCTGACAAGTAATCTGGTGTGCCGTCAAGTAGGTCCCCCTTAGAGAACACAAACAAAGAGGAAAAATACAAAACACAATAAGGAATGAGGCGCATCTTAAGGCTTGGTGACTCACTGATATTATTGACTGTATTATAGTGATTTATAATGCAAGTATTTTTTTTCTTTTCTATATTTTTTTCTTTTGCTCTTTGTGTCACTTTCCGTCTAAAATGTCCTGTTTTAGCTAATTTCATTGCTGAAGAGGCTGACTTGAAATTAATAGTCAATTGGTCAAAAATGTCAAGACAGCTGCTTCTAATTTGATGTGCTAAATGAGCCACTGAGAAAGCTTTATGCAAATGTGTGTTATAGAGTCATTTACATAAAGTGATGTACTAAATGCTGAGCAATAAATAAACAACTAAATGAATCAGAAAGCAACAATACTGCCCATGTACATAAATATGAGGAAAGGCTGAGTTAGTTTTCATCCATTTTAGGAGCGAAAGCTGTACGGTGAACAAAGGGACACTTATGTTAATGCGCTAGTTGCTAATTTGAGGGTGAACAAATACCTGAAAGAGACTAAAGATCAAATGTTTTAAAATCAAATACACATACACAAACAGGAAGCAAAAGAGTTTCACAGTTTTCTATCTAGTTTGAACATTTATTCTAAAATACTAACTGTTAAAAGACTGCATATTTGAAACTTAAGAATGCAAAAATTCTAAAAACAGTCAAAGTCAGAAACAAAAAAACACATTTCTTTGTTTGCACTGTTGTGTTTTGATAAATGCTAATGTCAATACTAAATTATGTATTATCTATATACTAATTGTTTTTTTAATCTATAAGTCTTAAAATAAAAACATGTCTAAGAAGTAAATCTAAGGGAAATACTAAAGAAACAAAAAGAAATATAAAAAGGAATATTTTAGGAGTAACAGAGAATTTACTTGTAATAAAATATACTCTGTGGCACAGCTCTAAAGCTGTAAACTCAACACAAAACTACAAGTTCTCATGCATATTTGAATCCCAGCACCCACCAGCATTAATTTCTTATAAAACTTTCAGTTCTAGAATAATATCTCCCATTTATAAGTGACAGCTATCTCATTATGAAACACAGCCAGTGTGGGCTAATTTTGAACTTGTGTTAATTTGGCACATTCGTTTAAAACCCACTCTTTTATGATAAGGATAATTCTTAACTATAAACTGATAGAGAACAATATTAAAACATCAGAGGAGGCGAGGTGACCCCTTCTTGAAACTGCAAATGATTATAGTCAGAAGGTGCACCTTAATTGCCAATATTGAGTCACCAAAAGCCCGCTTTAATGAATATGTGTATGACAATGTGCAAATGGCGCTGCAATATGTTTTAAGAACGGACCACTATCACTCTGCAATCAATTTGAACTAAACGCCTGTAGCTGTATTTTTAAAATCTAATTTAATAACTTAGAATAGGAAACATTATTAATACTTTTTTCATCAAAATGGTTCCCTCTATGTTAAACAGCCTTCAGCATTCACTGGTAATGAACATGGAGACTGTGCATTATTAATCCACATGTAGTGAAGAAGCTCATTTTCGCTGTGGCTCTCTTTAAAATGCAGCAAACTTGCAAAAGAAAATTTCAGTGAAGTGCACAGCTCCAGGGCTCACCTTTGTCATTTTTACAAAGGCCTTTCACCCATTTTTAATAACAAAATATCTGAAATGAAGTGTGCGTTGTAGGAGGACAGGAGTTGAGTTTGTTAATGTATTCCATACACTTCAGTGGGTAAAAATTATATAGAAGAGTGGGAACAATTAGAGAATAACTATTATATTTTATTTATTTGAACCTGCTGCTGTTTTTGGGGCTACAGTTAAAACATCTGCTAATGAAACTCATTGAAAAAAATCCTTCATAAGCTGGCTATTAGCCTCATTATCATAAACCTTTTTTCATTCTTATACTGCTAATGACATCTCCATTTCCACCTCAGGGTGGTGCCCCAGCTGTTTATCTCTAACGCTTTTACCAGTTCATCGACCTCAGGTGAGTGTTTCTCTCTCCTGACTCTTTTAATTAGCACAGAAATGAGTTTGAAACATTTTAGGGAATCTAAAAGAGCCTGGGGCTTTTAACAAAATCACAGGTGGCTCATTTACCTGGAAACCTGGTTTCCGTTGGTATTTTCTCCTCTGCTGCATCTCGGCAAAGGTAGCTGCCCCTGCTGCATAAGTGTAGGCCATGTGCGGTAGGAAGCCCATTTGATCCATGCCCGGATAGGGCCTAAGACCTGGTATGCTGGCCTGCATAGGGGGCATGAATGTGGCAGGTGGGAAAGCGGTCTGGGGTGGAAGTGATGTATATAAGGGTTTGGCAGCAAATGGGTTGATGCCAAAGATGGGGCTAGTGCTTTTTTCAAGGTTCCCATTATTAGTTGAGCCTGAGAATTCTTTCTTAAGGTAGGCCAAGTTCAAAGGCTCTTCGAAGTGCTCTCGGGGAGAGGGGATGCTGTTATGGTCAATGGTAATGCTGTTGACTTTCGGCCTGCTTTTGATGGTCAGTGCATGCTTGGGTTCCTTCATGAGTCTCGGCAGTGAGAGGTCAAGTGGCTCAGCCTGCAGGTCCTCTGAAGTCAAGCTGTTTGGAGTGTAGGAGCTGCTGTGGGAGTTTTTGGAAGATGTGGAGGAAAGGTTTAGTGGTGAGGGGGTGTTGCTGCGGGAGTGGTCCAACTTTTCACCTACAGGCTTGGCGCTGCCACTGAATTGATGGTTTTTCAAATGCCTGAGTGAACTGTCACAATTGTTGACATTATTATGGAGCTCTGCAATGGAGGGGGATGTGATGCGGTCAGTAGATTTAAGAAGTGTGACAGGTGACCTAGCTGCCAAAGAGTCTTTTGGTGGAGTTTGGTGGTTATTTGTTCCAACAGCTATATCTATGTTGTTCCTGTGCTCTAATGGTGGGGTTCTAGTAGTGCTATACTCGTGCATCTTTCTCTGCTCAAACCATTCCTTGACAAATTCCTGAGGAAGGCCAACTGCTATGGAAATCTTGAGCAGCTCCTCTGAGTTGGGCTCCATGTTCATGGCAAAATACGCCATCAGCACGGACATGTGGTCCCTGTAAGGGTTTAGGGGGCCAGGGAGTCCCTTCTCAGACAGAATGGAGGAGTGGGAGTTCTTCTCCATGAATATCCCTGGCTTGTTGGGCAACAGATTCTCACTGGGCTGCAGCACAGCTTTGATCTCCTCGTTCATTTTGCACAGGTAGCGTTCATGTTGATGCAAAGGTATTGGCCCGGGAAAGGTTTCTTTGCAATGCTGACAAGCGAATGGTGTAAACATGTTTTCCTGCACCTTCTCATCCACACCTCCTTCGAGCATGTGGTTGGGTTTCTCTCGTTTGATATTGCTAATCTGTCTCTTTGAGTCTGTCGTCAAGCTCTGGAGACAGGCTTTGGCTTCATTCACTTTTTCTAATGTGTAGTCAATGATGCTTTTGGTGGCACCATTGTGATTGACAAGTGGAAGACCAACCTGAGGCCCCCCTGGAGATGTCAAGCTCTGTTTCTGCTCCTCCATCTGGTTTCCCAGTTCCTTCATGTAGGCCTTGAGCTTAGAAAGCTCCTCTGGCTTGCAATCCATTTTCTGCCTGCACACAGTGTTGTCCACAATCTGGAGAACCTTCTGTACCTCGCTCAGGTTGTTTCCAAGTGAACCTGGGTAACCTGTGAACTGTGATTCTAGCCCTGCCATGCTCAGGTGCTGCAAGGGGCTTTGAGCAGTTGAGTTGTGGTTGATCCCCAGTGGGCTGTTTCCACCCATCCCTCCATTCATAAATGGAACAGGAGCGCCAAATCCATGAGAAGCCATCATGAGTTTATAGTCGTTGAAATCAAGAGGCTCTGTTTTGATGTTTAAGTGGTTGTTGTGGTCGGTGTAGCCGAGGGGCTTGCCATTCTCTAGCTTCTGGCGCAGCTGTGTGATAGCAGTGTTGGTGGGTGAGGCAGAGGCAGAGGTGGGCGACGAGCCTGGCTTCAGGCTGCTGCGCATGCGACCGTTGACGGCAATCAAACCAATGCATTTCTTGCTGCTTATGTGGGAGCTGTAGGATCCTGAATGGGAGAAACGTTTCTTGCAGTTGGGGCACTCATAGGGTTTTTCACCTGAAATGAAAAATTACAGAAGGCATTTTTAGAAGACTGAAAAGATGAACTAGTTTTGCGTTGACAGATAGAAACTTAAATAGTGTCCTTGAACATGATTTAAAGATAACTTACAATACTAAGTTAAATTTCACTTTTGTAATATTTTACTACTGAGCTAACAAAAAGACAGAAAAAAAAACATTTCCAGAGTTAATGTTTTTTTAATGAAGCACATTTTAAATTGAATGTGATGATTTTTTCATGTGAAAATGATTGAACATGGTTGTTGCAGCTAATCAACCTTGACAATCACAAAATTTTACTACTTACATGTAGAGCTAAAATTGGTGTGGCAGTAGATGAGAGTAATCTCTAACTTGTACTGTGAACCTTAACAGATTGTGTCATGTTTTTGTTGGCAATATTCAAAGAGCAACTCACCACTATGAATCCGGAGGTGCTCCTTCAGGTGGTGCTTGTACTTGAAGGCCTTGCCACACTCGGTGCATTTGAACTTGCGGTTGCCGGCTGCTTGGTTGAGAAGTTGGTGCTGTGAAGATGAAACAGAAAAGAAATTAGGTTAAAAAAAATAATGTTTAAGCACTGAAGGGGGGAAAGTTTTATAAGTAATCATAACTGGTCGGCATTACAACACTCGAAAAACCAAATGGCTCCTTTGGCCAAACAAAGCATGTTGGCTTTCTCCTCCCACCTCCCACTACAAGCAGTGGAGGTGTTAACCAAGAACATCGCACAACTTTTAATTTCCTGGCTTCTCAGCCCAACAAGGACTGCCTTTAGAATTTGGCCACCCAGAAAATGGAATAAATGAAAGGCTTTTTAGAGCCTTCATTAAGAGTGCCAAACTGATCTACTTTTCATTAATTTTGGCCTTATCGGTCCAACATGTATTTAGAGCTGTTTTACCTCCAATACCTGTACTCATACAAACTTAATGAGTCATTTTTAGGGCCGTTTTCAGAAGTGCCATATGGAAATGTGGTCCATGTGTTTGTTAGTAAAATCTTTAATAAACCACTTTATGAATTTAAGTGAAACCGCTGGAAAATAAGCCTTAAAATCTAGCTGTAAAATTGATTAAACTTTGGAGTTCTTTCAATTCAAAATGGTTAATAAAGTGGCTACAACCCAGTCAATTATACAGATACTGAACTAAAATTTGGTGTGGTATTAGCTGAGAGTCATTCAAAACACATAGTCTGAGCATAAACAAATCATATAATACCTTTAATTCTTGGGTCTCAAACATCTTTAATAACCTTAAGGAACTCGAGTGTGATTTACTGTTCAGAGGTAAAAAATAATAATAATAAAAAAACAGTTGCCTTCCAATATCTTTGCATTCACAACCAGAACAAAATTCAGAATGTAACACAAAAACTGGACTCATAATTAACAAACAATTAACCATGAGTTAAGGGTAAAAATGGAAAAAAAAAACCAAAAAAAAACCGGAGAGCAACATTTAAAAAAAGATGCTTTTTTTCTGATCTTGTTGGGGTGGAGAGGGAGATGCACAGCGCCCCCATTCTTCCACCTCAGCCTTGACAAACGCCGGGGTGTGTGCTGACTCTCCCCACATTCCTGGGGAGACAGATGGTGGCACACAGGACACTGGGAGGACTTGGAGGAATTGTTCAAACAGCTCCAACCTTCAAAGATCAAGCTGGGAAGGGGGCACCCAGCACCGGAGGGGGACCCCACTGCTCATGTGTTGCTGAGTTGCATAAACAAACAGCAACAGCTGCTTTACCGTCTAAATTCACCCCCACCCCCACCCCACACACAAACACACACACACACA